AGACCACACAATTAGAGGGACATAAACCACATTTTCAATGCTTTTGCCATTACCTATATTGGTTCTCTCTTGTTCATTATCTTTCCATAAGCTTATTGGAGATTGCTTATTATCAATATAGCACTTGCTTTATAAAAGGTACTTGTGGAAAGCAATGGGATTATAGACATAACTCAAGGAGCTGACAATCTAGCAGGGAGATAGAAGATAATCACATAACAAAATGAGTGCTATTAATACAAGTAATAAGAAAATTATGGAAGTATATAGAATATACATTTTAACCCAGACTGAGACAAGGGAAGGATGGGGAGAGGCAGGGCTTCCTGGAAGTGACATCCTCCTAAATTTTAAGAAATTATTCTTTCATAGCTAAGCACTCATTCACTAAGAATACCTTGTACTCAAAAATATTTTATTATATTAGTTAAATCCATGATAGTTTTCTACATGTAACATATCCAAAATAATGTCTGATCTCTGCCTCACTGTCTGCCTATAAGCATATACCAAAGCTGGGATGAATCATTAACAGTACAACTTCTCTGAATCTGTCCACCCTGGGTTGGTTGGCCTTAATCCTCAATCTGGTTTAAACCATACAGGATTATGTTAGCTGGACAGTACCCTCTATTCTCTCTCCTCCACAATTATCTCAACCACTGACCCTTCATTCCAGATACCTAATTATGAGGTTTCAAATATCAATACCCTCTTTGTAAAAGACAGCAAAATCTGCAACTCAATAGACTAGGAATGCTACTATAGTAATATAAAAATCTCTGAATAGAAAGAGTATAACTCTAATTTTGTCTTTTTGTGTATTATCTCTTTCAGGTTCTTCTCTGACTCCCTCAGGTACAGCAACACATTATGAAGTTCATCTATAGTCTTAAAGTACTTTGTACATATCTCGTATGTTAGCTCTTATGTCTGTCTTGTTTCCTAGACTATGAGTGTTTTGAGGGTTAGGATTGTGTCTTGTTCAACTTTTCATCCTCAGAGGACAGCACCATTCCTGGTTCATATTAAATATTCTGTGAGTGTTTACTCAATGAATATACACGAAGGAAGACAGTTGGCCCTCTGTATCTGTGGGGCCCACATCTGTTGATTCAACTAACCAAGGATCAAAACTATTCAGAAAAAAAAAGACTGTACTGAACATGGAGAAACTTTTTCTTGCCGTTATCACTTAAACAATACAGTAGCATTTATATTGTATTAGGTATTATAAGTAATATAGGAATGTTTTAAAGTATATAGGAGGAGGTGCATAGTTTACATGCAAATACTGTGCCATTTTCTATCAGGGACTTGAGCATCTGTGAACTTTGGTATCTGCAGGTCTTGGAACCAATCCTGCATGGTTATCAAGTAATTTGCAGGAGCTCCGTGTTTACTATTATCTGTTTTAGCTCTTTCCTTTACAGGTATATCCTATTATTTCTATCAGGATCACTGGTAAAACAAACATTTAAGAAATTAGAGCTGGGAGTGGTGGCATGTACCTGTAGTCTTATTACTTGGGAGGCTAAGATGGGAGGAGGCTAGGAATTTGAGGCCACAGTGTGCTATGATTGCACCAGCGAATAATCAGTGCACTCCAACCTGGGAAACACAGTGAGATCTTGTCTCTTAAAACAAAATAATATCCCCTAGCACCTCTCAAGACTACCAAGGGCTTTCTGCCTACTGATTTAAAAAAGAATGGCAGTGAAATCCAAATAGACATAGCAGCCAACAAGACTGTACAGAATTTTTCAAGGAAAAAATTCTATTTAGATATACAATATTAAAAGCATAAGCAATTTTTAGATGGAATTGGATGCATACGTTTACCTGCTAAATACTTATTGAGTTTTTTCCCCTAGAATTGTTTCAAGTGCCTTGTTTAATGAAACAAATAATATGAAGATCCAGGAGATCACAGTTTAGTAGGAGAGAAGACAGGCATTAATCATTACTGCTAAAGTTTGATGTCGCACTTCATATTTGGAATGTTTCAAGATCAACCAAAGCATTTTATACAGATGTGAGTTGGTCAATCTAAGTATTCTGCTTAGAAGGAAAGTTATTAGAATCACTTTAAAGGTGCAAAATCCAAATCATCAACATCACAGGGATTATCTCATTCTGCAGAAATCTGTTTCTTTTTAAATTACAGTTTGTTAGAGAAACCAGAAAAGTTAATTTATAGTAGCAAGTGATATTCATATTATGGTAACTTTACCAAGCATTCACTTAGTTTAGTATCCCTCACTCATCTTCTACACGCATGAGAGATTCACAATAAATTGTGATTGGAGGACTAATGTTTCTTTAGGCTTAATCAAAGTATTCCTTAAGCAAAAGTATATTTGCTTGGCAAGTCACTTCCCAACTTGGACATCAATATCACCAGCTAAAACATCAGGTAGTAGTCCTAAAACAGCATCCAGATTAAATAGCTTATAGTCCTAGGATTCTCTAAATTGAATAGCCTGAACTAGGATAACCAGATATGAGACCAGACAAGCTATCCACTAGAAATTTATTTCCAAACTCACAACTTTCATAAAGAAATCACAGTTAAAACAATAACAACAATCTTACTTGTGATGCCTAGACATCTCTTCTGTATTTCTACATATTAACATGTGGAAATCATTAATATGAATTACTATGCAAATAGTGGCATAACAACTTTTGACAAAAGCCCACAGATCAATAAGTATTAGTGCAAGCAGACTTCTATTGCATTGAGAGTAAATGTTTTGAAGCTTTGTTACTCAAAGTTAAAAGCATATAATGGACGATGCAACCAATTTTCAGGATTAACACCTTTGGACAAATGTAATGTAAAAATCCAAGAGAGATCATACAGCAAGGCACCCAATTAGACAGTTGCATTTAAATGCATCTATGATAGCTGGTAAAAAAGAATGTGACTAAGCTAGACTCTTTTTTTGAGCAATAATCAGTCTAATTAATTCTCTTACAGTTTCATAACAATAATAAGGATGAAACTGTATATATCAAAAGTAGCTATGTAATTTTGTTGCTTAAATAAAGAGAAATGTAATACCTTAACTTAAAATAGTTTTAAATTTGTGATATGGATAGAATCAGATTTTGAATAAGGATGCAAAGTTATCCTAAATTCCAGAATTCGTTCCATTCTCTTTTCTCCATTGCGCCATTTGTGGTTCCTATAAATGTTTATTAGACTAAATATTTCTATTTTCAGTTTTTAATATCACTTTTTAAATTTTTATGACAGTTAGTAATGGAATATCACATTTAAAAAAATGTAGATTGAAATATCCTATCATACTACACAGTCCTGCAACTCATTGAGAAATAGCTCTAAAGCCTTAAACAAGGCCTTTATTTAGTGTTTTTTAAAAAGTGTCATAAGGAGTTAATAGGACACAGCTGTACTGGCTCTTTCTAATAAGCAGCTTCTGTCGCTTTGGTCACCACAGGTGTCTCTGTAACCTGCAAACTCTTATTACTAGTGTATCAAAGTTGTGCTACTTAACAGACTTCTTTAGTAAAACATAACAAAGCAATTACATGGCTGTTGATTGCCAGTCATAAAAAAAAAAAACCTTCAAACACTGTTTTTTCAAAAGAAACTACACTGCAATTTTTTGTCATTGTAAAATAAAAGGAACTAAGGAATTAAATGGAGGATAGAACAAAATAACAGCAGGTAGCCCACTGAACTTAGCCACTACAGATGGCTAGAAATAGTGTTTCCTTCTCCATCAAGTTGTGGATAAAAGGAAAGGAGGAGATTCCTTACTGCCAGTGAATGGCAAAAGATTTAGCCAAGTCTCTGGTCTATGTATTTTGCCTCATGAAAGACCTTCGATGTGGCATTTTATCTATTTTTGGCACTGCTTTTCATCACCTTTAACTGAGTGTGAATAATAACCTGATTTAATTTAAACAAATACAGGTGCTAAAGGTTCTTTATTTATGTATAACAGGGAACATTTCCAAGGCAGAACGAAGTCATTCTATGAAATTTCCTAACCATTTGCTTAAAGAAATGAAGTATTAGGTGAAAAATTGCTTCAACATTCTTTTGCCTCACATTTAAGGGAAGAATCATCTTTCTTTTCAGATTCAGATTAAATAAAATAAAGTCTGAATGATGACAAAAAATTCAGTGAGCCATAAAATAATAAAAAGACAAATCAGATGGATTCTAATTGTTCTATAATCACTTAAATTAGGTAACTATAATAGGCTTGCCTTGAAACGAATTAATTTAATCTCCCTGTTCATAAACCAGCAGCCTGTGATTATGATTGTGTTAACACACCCAAAGTGGCATCATGGGATGTTATGGCCACATGTGTAAATATGATGAAATATATTTCAAATGGGAAACTCAAATTGGCAAAATATGAAGAATTATTTATCACTTACAGATATTATGATTAAAAAACTGAGTAAACTTATCCTGACAACTAGGAGGTTTTTTTCCTATTGAGAATATGGATGTACTGCTGGCTGTGTGCAAAAGAATGTGTGCAATAAAGCGATTACATCAATTAGCATATGCTAGAGTTAAGCTATTACCAATTCCACTGGACTAGTTCAGTATGTTTTCTTCTTCGCTGAAGTTATTAAAAAATAAATTTACTACAGGATTATATGTTAGAACTTGGCTTTGCCTTTTCTGAACATCACTAAGACATCAATTTTCTCTAAATGTTCCACACATATTAGAATAGTACTCTATCTGTCATATTGCAAATAAGATGAGAAATGTATTTTTCTTTTCAGGTTACTCTTGAATTTAAGAGGAGTTTTTGTAAGTTAAGGAATATTTTCACAATTGTAAATAATTGCATTTTAGCTACAATAAGCTTTTTTTCTAACGAAATGCAATGGTAGAGAATTTAATGCTGAGGCTGGAAAATGTTTATGATAATGAGAAACCAAACAATGACGTCTAAAATAAAATACAAGCCCAACTTATAATTTGTCAGTAACAGTATTACCTTGCTCTGTTGGCATCCTTTGTCAGATCCCAAGCCCAGGTTATAAAATTTTGACTCAGATAAGAAACAATGGATTCAGCACAAAGCATTTGTGAGCAGAACACGTTGGTTAATACACTTTCATCGTGGTGGAGGTAGATAGCAAGAAGCTTTCTCTGAAAAAAAGGAGAAAAAAACTGATCAATTACAATATCCACTAATGTATGATTTCCTGAATTTTGGAGAGGCATAATCACTCTACATGACTAGTAAAGACAAAAATTGAATGCTATTCCCCTAATAGAGTGCTACATCCAGAGTGTTACATCTGGAGTCGCTAAAGCATCTACTAATATCAATACATTTTGCTTCCTTACACTTTAAAAAGGCTAGGATGATTATATCTACTTTCACAGATTGCTATCGCAGTTTTCCGTTAACACGAGCAAGCCAATCTGAAACAGAAATTGCAACAGAACTGCATTTTCCTCAAATAAAATATATTTTACATTCTTCTTATTTAATATATACTTTATATGTAAAGAGAAATATTAACTTGGAACTATTCATCTATACAGAGAAAAATACTCATTAAGATTGAATGGCAAGATGTCTTACTTTTTTTTATGGTATTAATCTGAACACTGAATAATCTCTTCTACTTGAAAGAAAAAGGTTGGAAATGAAGTTTGGTTTTAGCTCCACAGGTAACTGTAAAGTCCTTAATGAGTTCCCATATTAATGTCCTTATTTAAGAACATGTAACATGTAATTGCTACTTGAAAAGATGATTGAAAAATATTAGTTCACATGAATTCTTTCTACTTTATATTTCAGAAAATGTCCAATGTGTTTTCACATATGGAAAACTATTCTTTCCCATTTGCCATAATAACACTTGCTCTTAAGACATGACATTTGCTCTCTTAAAAGTCTCCTTTGTCATAGTTGGATATTCAATAAACTAATTGAAACTAAAAACTGAAATTGAACGGAATAAGTATACTAAGAACAATAGGTATAAGCAGTTCAGCTGATAATTTGCAACATTAATGTTAGCTTTATTAACAATGACTACAACCATGAAATAGCCTAAATAGTTGTTGACTTAACTTCTTGGTGCTATCATATAGAAGAGCTGAGTTTAAGAATAATCACAATGACAAAAAAAGGAAAGATACAATGTTATGGTAAAGACAACATATAAACCAATCTGAAATTCTGCCAAAAGATAATTTCAAGGAAGCCTAGGATCTTTTCCTTCACATTAAATACGGATATGATGATGGTAAACAAAAATTTACTATATAGTGTTCTAAACAAAAGAAGGACACTTACAGAAAAACATAAGGCTCATGCTGATAAAAAGATAATGAACTGATGGTTAGAATTATACTGATAAAGAATCTAAATTACAATAACATCAAAAAGTAACCATTAAAATATTTTCTTCAAAGATAAATTTGAACTAGATGAGAATAACCAGAGTTAGATAGGAGATTTGAATTTCTAAAAGCATCTACTATAAAGACATTTTAGTTACCTTCACAATCATTACATACTTTAATCTCCAGAATAAACTTGCGAAATAGGGTTTTTTTTGAGTTGTAATCTCACTCTGTCGCCCAAGCTGGAGTACAGTGGCATGTTCATGGCCACCCCAGCATCGACTCACTGGGCTCAGGTGAGCCTTTCGCCTCATCCTTCCAAGTAGCTGGAACTATAGGCACGTGATACCATTCCCAGCTAATTTTTTGATATATTGTAAAGACGAAGTCTCACCAAGTTTCCCAGGCTGGTCTTGACTCCCTGGGATCAGGCGATACTCTTGGCTTCCCAAAGTGGAAACAGGCATTTTTAACTTCATACAGCATAAAAGGAAACTGAGGTTTAGAAAGCTGACTTGTCCCAAATTTCACAGTTAGTAGTAAGTAATACTGCTGGGACCAAAGCCCAGATTGTCTGACTCCAAGTCTAAGTGTTCTTTCTCTGCTACTACAGCGGGATCAGGGAAATCAATCATACTGTAGTCAAGGTTTGTGGAATGCTCATATAATATGGAGATGCCTGACTGCTTATAACATCAGTGCTTCTGGGACTTAGAGACAGCATGTAACAGGAATAAGGATAGGCCTCCTGGGTATAAGCAGCTTGGCTGATTCCACCTTGCTTCTATGTGTTAATTCATTTATTCATTCATTCAACAACCATTCCTTGAAATATTCTTTGTGTCAGGACCAGCAGGAAGCAATGGCGAACAAGAACAAGAAAATGGAGAACAGGAAAGACTCAGGGTTTCTCCATCTATGTTGATATCTACAGAGAACAGTATTAGGCTTCAAGGAAGTTTGTAATCAGATACAGTGTTAGAGAGATACTTATCTAGTAAATTCCTACTCATCCTTTAAGGCTCAAAGTAAATGCCTCTGTGAAACCTTCCCTGATTCCCTCACGCAGAGTTAAGAGCTTCCTTTCCTGGGCCTCTATCTCTTGGCATTAGTATTATAATTGTTTACCAGTTTCCCCTCTAGTCTAAGTCTCTCAAGGGCAAGAATGGGGTCTCTTTCAGTCTTTGCACCCTTACACTAGTATGGGTCCCTCTTTGTTTGACAAAAGAAACATGAATGCTGATATCAACCACAGTCCTCTGGCATAAAAGACACCCAATGGCAGTAGCAATGCTAAATCAGTTTTAATATATGATTAAGAATTCTGCTGCTTTATGGAAAGGAACGTGAACCTGGCACCACTAACAAATTCAGAGCCCCTCTTCTTAGGAGCTCTCTAGATGAATAGACAGAGGGATGTCAACCTCTAATTCGGCTTGATTGTATCTCAGCAACTACTTTTAATGAGACACTGAGAACAAGAGAGCTGTCCACTTTTAAATCAGCATACTTCTAACCAAACAATGGCAATAGCTAAATCTTTAAAATGCCTATTTCTCTCAAGAACACTGCAATGGAACATTTAGACTTTGGGAAAGAGATTAGTGATTTACATCGCTATCTCACTGATTTAATTTAAATGCTCTTCCAAACCAAACACACATGTGCCAAAGAGGCTACTAAGAAATCCAACATGCAGAGTTCCCTCTAAGTGCAGCCGACAGTGTTGACTGAAACTAAACTTGGAAATCCAGGGCACTAATGCACAATATCAAGCAATAAAACAGCATCTCTTTGGCAATATTTAATTTAAAAAAGAAGAAAGAGGCAGGCGAAGATCAGGCACTGTCTGTTTTGGAGGATCAACCATTCTGCATTTCAAAGCATTGGTTCCTGCAATATCCAGGTTACTGTGCTAGAATCTCAACTATTATATCGCAGTTGTGAGAGGGAGGGCAAAGATGTGTTTACTCAGTGATTAGGCCCTTAGAATAAGCCTCTAGCTCCTAGAGAGACAGCTCACCACTTATTCATTTGGGCCAATTCACAAAGCCTAGGAAGATTAAACATCCATGCTGAGAAGACAAGCGAATGCAGACGGTGAAAAAGAAATAAAAATTCTTTAAAAACTCTGAGATGACTTCATTATTTTTCCACAAGGAAACTTTAGGAAAGTGTTTAGTTAGAGAAAAACCCACATTGACCTCTCTCTAAACCCTTAATCTTTCCTTTGTGGTGGCACTGCTTTGTGGTAAGCGACTGGCTCGCCTCGCCCCTCTTTTCACTGGAAGCTGAGAGAAAAAAGGCTCTGGAGAAACAGTTTTCGTTCCAGGGACACAAACCCCTGACACTGTTAAACATGAGATGCCAGGAAAACACACTTAAAAAAAATTCCCATTTTAAGCTCTAGACTGAATGTGAGAAAGAAGAGTATCAGAAAGGTTCTTCAGGCTGGGGGGTACTCTCCTAGTACCTTTCAAAAGGAAAACTGAATAATCTTATAATCTTTTATCTGACATAATAAACTTTCAACAAAAATTTTCTTCTGCTATTATGACAGTAAATAAGCAAAAAATACAGATTCTTAATAATATGCAAACGCTACTAAATTTGGATTATATAAATCTCTGATTATAGGTACAGATAAATGAAGTCCAGACTTAGATTTCTGATCTTATTGAGCTCAATTAATTATATGCCAAAACAGTGAGAACAGCGTATCAACCAATTCAGAGAGTTGATGGCAAAGTAATCAGAAAACTGCTTTTGTAAAGAAAGGGCATCTAGTACAAAGGGCATCTAGCATAAGAAAATGTTTTGTTTTCTATTTCTATAACCAGTTTTTACTATAACCATTAATAATTCAATTCAATAACATCTGAAGAGTACCTATGTATTAGGCATTGAGAAAATAAAGATGAAAAAAACAAAGTTCCTTTCCTCTCAAAGATTGGGGGAGGCATGTGGGGAGACAAAAATTTAATTGTAGTACAAGTAATAACATTGGTGCATTAGGAAGAATATATTCTATTTGTCCTTTCTAATTTGGTAGAGAGGGTTAGGCAAACAACCCAGTGACACTATCCTTAGACTCACTTTTTGTAATCTAAGTTTTAGTAACACAGTGTAAAATCTCCAAGCTTAAAGCAATAGCTCTGCTCCAAACCCAGTTCAGTCATTCACCATCTGTGTGACCATGGGGCAAGATGGGTTGTTGTAAGCATTGTGGATAAAGTAGGTTAAATACCTAATTCACAATGCCTGGCCCATAGTAGGTGCTGAATAAAAGGTAGCTGTTAGGATGAAGATTCCTGAGCTATCCATGCAAAATAAAGGGTTTTGAAACCAATTTCAGGAGAAATAATAGCCATGAAAATGTATTAAAGATTAAGTAGTTCCTCCATTTTTTTTCTACTGGCAGTCGTGTTGGGGATGCTTATTGTGTCTCTGCCTTCAGTGCCTCACTAATCTTCACATTCAAATACAGGAGCTAAGGTACTATAAGTTGATGCTTATGAAATACCCAGCCAGACAGCAACCAGAGTGATTTGACCTTGAGCTACAGCAGCTATTGTATTTAGACACTTCAGTGTCACAGAACCATAGAACATTAGAGCTAGAAGAAATGAGCTATGTCTCAAAATAAGCCAGGCACAGAATAGAAACTCAGGAAATATGCTGATAGACTAAAAAGGAAATGTTTCTTTTTGAGTACCAGAACATTCATAATCTGTGTTCAAAGATTTTAAAGTTGAAATGACAAATAGTTTCTAGAAATGGTACACTGT